CAACGAAAATTGAAGACATCGAACTTCAAAACGTCATCATGGTCAAAGTAAGAATAAATTATATCGTTAGACTGAATCTGTTTTCCCATTTTAGTTTCTACCGTTGTAGAATTAAAGGTTTAACGTGGGTCCAAAATTTCGACTCCAGTCGACTGTCGGGCACATGTGTTCAACGTGAGAAACACGAATATATCTCCCCCCCCCCCTCGCGGCGAAAATTCGTAATCCCAAGACGATTACGTTATTATCACGTTTATTATATACAGTTCGCCGTACCGTGGCGAAAGCGGTCAGACACCGATCCTACGGAAAGCGTGGGAAAACTCGAAACGCGCGCGTTCTGCCCTCGCGCGTTAATTAGACGCCGCCGACGTCGAAAGGCGGCCGGGCTGAATTTCCGAGTTGTACCACTTTTTCGCAGTCGTTCCGGCCACGGTCCAACGAAGGAGGGTCTCGGGGGCTAAGACGTAGACGACGACGCCGCCACACCCCGGGAACTTAAAGATAAACTCAGAAAAGTTTGTAATTGCACGACGATTACAACTTAAATATGCGCCTTAGCGCGGCCAGAATTTACAAGTGCCCCCCTGCCCTCATTCTCTCTCTTTCTCTCCTTCCCGTCGCAACGTCGGATCTTTAATGAATATTACTCTTGGATCAGGTGTAACTTGGATCGTGTAACACGAGTACGAGCGGGCAAATCCGACCGGAGATATAGACCGGGCCGAAGTTTTGCCGCTTTCCGCGAGCCGTATTATTAAACTTCCGGTAAGCCGAAAGCGAGCATATTCTAGCTTCGGTCTAAGATCGTAATAGCGAACTTTTGCCCCGCAGCCACGACGAGATTTCTCGGGCTATCCCCGCGGAAACTGAGCAAAATTATTCGCCGGCGCGTGACGACCGAATTGATTAGATCTAAACTTGCAGTCGCGCCCCCGCCGACTACACACGGATACTACGCCCGGCGTTCGGACGTGACGACGTAACGTTACGGGGTATGAACGTAATCGTGGAGCACGACGGTGAGAAATTAACGGTATCGCCCGCGCGTTCCGAGTTAACGCCGAATTTTCAGCAATTTCGCTCGATGAACGCGAACGTTGCTAGACGTTGACAAGTTAAAACCGTCGAAATATTTCCGCTATGCGTTCACGTGTATAGGTGGAAAGCAGGGAAGAGAGAGCCGGCACGTGCGGAAACATGGTGCGGAATGAAGATGAAAGAGCAAAATGGAAAGAGAGAGAGAGAGAGAGAGAGGTAGAACGAGAGAGGGATAGAGAGAGGAACGGAGGAGAGAACGAAGAGGGAGTATCGTTTGTTCCGTGCTGTTAACCGCATGTGTGATGCACACGCATCTATATAACGGGCTCAATGATGCCGAGCGAAGCAATGAATACCGTGCGCTCCGCACCACGCTCGGCCAAATTAAATGTGATACACTCTCTCTCCGCGCGTAACGTTGGTCAGTTATACGACGCGTATAACCGAGCTCGTTATTTTTCTTCCGCTGTCGGGAAAAATTGCACGAGGGCGCGCGCGCGCACGCATGCACACGTACGTCCGGCCGTCTCACTTAATCCGCAGCAAATATATTTTAACGAGTTTTTTTCCCCGCGCACGCGGTAATTAAATTAAAAAGCGCGCGTTCTGGTGCTTATTTTAATTTTCACGTCCCTAAGTTTACGGGCTCGCGCACATACGCGCCATGTTTGTATTAATAATCACGCTCGGTCTCTCCTAATGGGCCGGTTGCTTTCCAAAGCGCGAAAATATAAAAGTTTGACGAATCTTGAACTTCTCCCGGACGAGTAAGGCAAGAAGGGGGAAGAGGCGGACAAGCACTCTCGCTTACACGAGCTTCCTCTGTAGGTGTAGGTTCAGGAAATACAACCGGGCAACCGTTGAATGATCGTCGCCTTTTCAGGCATCCCTTCGAGATTCATAGTAGATTTAAAAAAATACTCCAATGACAATGAACACTCATTCAACCGTTATAGTTGCCTATATAGGAATCGTAGGGTTTACGGTACATAAAATCAAAGAAGACGCACATTTCACTGGAGATCAAACATATTTATTGAAGAAGAGAAAACCAATATTCCTATCGTATACTAGAATCAGCGGTAAAAAGTGGACATTTGCAGGTAGAAAAAGCACCCTGGTCAAAGTTCTGGCTGTTCCTTCCAGTATTCAATTAATATCAAATCGGAACTGAGCTGGTACCTCGTCAATAGTTATTTTCTACTTGGGATTTCCTACTTGGACTCTTTAATGCATCACATTGAAAATTAAATCGAGAATACGACAATCTCGCGCTAAACTCCGAAGACTTGAAGAAAGGACTATATTTTAGCGGTCCGCTATATATCGATGTCTGATTTATGAGTGGCCGGGAGCAGTTACCTGTATCGAAGCAACGGGTACACACACACACACACACACATGCACACCAAACGCGCCCCGGGCAATCCATCAAGCTAAATATAATTCAGCGCCCGTGCGCGACGTCGCGCACGACGGCAGTACGTTACGTATAACTAAACGCACACTTTTTTGCCGGGACGTTTCTCTCTCCCGTGCGTCAACCCTGCTCAGCTGTGCGAAGAAAATGCAAACATATGTGTGTACGGTTATATTACGGCGGGCGGGTTGCGAGAACTCCGACGCGTACGGGATTATCCCAAATAGCGTCGGCAGCGTTTATACGGATTTTTACAATCGCTCACTTACGACTTCGTGCAAAATTGTTACGACGCTGCACGCTGCCGGCCCGAAGTTACGAGTGCTAAACGTAATAAGCTGTGCCGCTAATGAAATCGCGACGTAAAGCTCGACACGGGGCTTGCTTAGGATCCTCGCGCACACACAAGAAGCTGTACCAGGTGATGCCGTGCGCGACTATATTTTTGAACGACGTATTTCGCGAAAATGTCAACTGAATTAGGAATTCACGCTTGAATTTCGATAAAGCGTTCACTCTCACGATTTCAAATAGTTGTATTTTCACTGTTGCTTCGAATAAATTCTCATTACTTTCGAATGAAATTTCATTTCCAGAAACTCGGAGAAAACTTTAAGTTTGTTTTAATAAGATCCCGTTAAATAAGCAAAGTGACAGTGAAGCCACGACTTTGAGTTATTTTTCTCTCATGTAAAATAAATTCTTCACTGTGGATCGTCGAGTAAATATTTTCACTCGAAATTGATGAATAAATTTGATGTATCCTATTATCGTGGGGGCAGTTTCATTCTAATCGAAATATTGAAATATTCATTCGTATGAAATTAGAGTTGATCCTAAACTTGAGCGAAACATTCAGTCTTATAATTCCGAGTGGTTGGCATTTTCATTGATGCTTCGAACGAGTTTCTGTTCATTACAAGTGAGATTTTATTCCAAAAAATTTCGAGGATATTCTCGAAATTTTTTCGAGTAAAACTCCACTTGATAAATAGAATGAAAATCAAGTTATTCAAATCGAACGACCTTTCGTTCGTATATTTTATTATATTGCTACTTTGAATGAATTTTTGTTATTAATAAAATTTTATTACAAGAAATATCGAGAATTCTCTAAAGTAAAATTCTTTTCTAATAAAATTTAATTCGAGAAATATACAGTTGAGTCACTCGAATTCCATTGACTTTCCACTCATACAGAGTGAATTCTTCGTTCTGAATCATCATATAAATACTTTCATGTGACATTAAAGAAATAAATCTGATATACTCCACTCTAATTAATTAAAACTAGGGATTGAAACCAGTATCTAAAATAACGTTTCCAAATATTAGTATTTGCATAAATATATTGTATAAAATCGCTATTGTATAAATATACGGTATAGAATCGCTAGCAAAATAATTTCGATATTAAATCTATGTATATGTGTGATTGCAACATTTTTTTATATGAATTAAGACTCTACTCCGAATTCTTCAGTCATTCGCTCATTCGCTTGTAATTCCGAGCGGCGGATATTTTCATTATCGCTTCTAGGGAATGTTCGCTGGCTTTTAAGCGAGATTTTGTTTGGAGGAATTTCAAGAACACCGAGAAAGAAATCTTCGGGATAATCGGGGGTGCATTTTCAACTCCCTCGACTCATACGCTTCGTGACTCAAGGCTCAAACTAGCCATCTCGCGCTCCCACCTGTTATAATCTTACGAGTGTTATCAGTAGTCACACCGTACACACCGAAGCAGTCGAGTATCGTGTGATATACACGAGAGAACAAGCAGGACGCGTGTATCCCCGCAATTCGTGACTTCCAACAGAACCGGCTGGCTTGGCCGCGGCTCGGTGGTAACAGGGGCATTGTTTTTGTCCGACACGTTGCCTGGATACTAATGCGTTCGGGCACCTAACGTCCGGCTATACGTTAAGCCCGATGCGCCACGTGAATGCGGCTTATGTTCGCGCGATAACGGATCCTTAAATCGACATACATAATATAAGCTCGCGTTAACCTACGGGACGTGTTGTCGGAGGAATCTGTCTATCCGGAATAATAAAATCCAAACTTTATATTGTCTAAACAAATTTTCCTTGCGCCACTATATTGACAAACATTTGCCGACCGCATTCCACGAGGATTCTGAGCATGCGTTTTTTCACTCCTAACGTCAATAATCAAGATGGCTGCAGCGAGGAAACAGGGACCTCTTAATTACTACACACAGTGGAAGCTAAGATAGCAAAATAGATTCAATTTCTATTTTAATAACAATTTATTCCTATTTCGACCAAAATATGGTACTGTAAATTTCCGTTTTCGCTATTTTATCATCAAAATAGGTTGTTTCGAGTAATATTAAAATGAAACCCGTAGAATTCAAGGTTTAAAAGAGAAGTTAACGAGTGTTGGTATTGTCAAAGTAGGTTTTCATTAGTCTACAAGCGATCTAAGTAATGTGGAAGCTCCTTAAGAACGTCAAAGTAGCGTCATCTCGACTCGGGCTTCGCCGTTTCAAATTGAATAATGAATCGATATTTACCTGGATTTACGGCGTGGCAGTGGTTGAGGAGCGGCAGCCAACAGAGCAGTAGCACCGCTCTCTGCATCTGAAATCATAATTAACGCATGTGAACGCGCGTATTGCTTCCAGGCCGCCGCATTATTACCGGAACGATATTACTGACGAGGAAGGCTTCAAGAAGTCCGACGGTGATCAAAATTACATTTCCTTTCGATCCACGGACCCTGATGAATTTCGATCCGTCCCCAAATGAAAGCTTAATAGAAGTCCTAATTACGAGATGATGAGAAAAGAAAGAGAGAGAGAGAGAAAGAGGGGGGGGGGGACGAGGGGGAACATACCNTTGGTGTATCCCTCTCTCTCTCTCTCTCTTTCTCCCTCTTTCATTCTCGCGAGGAAATAAGAGAAGGCGCACCATAACTGCAACCACGGCTACCTAAACGCTAAACGAGCGAGGCGATCCTCCGCTTGTCCGGTTGCACCGATAACAAATGAACTCTCGCGCGTAAGCCGGCGCATCAGCATGCACACCGCCGTGCCACAAGCGAGTTTGCACGCACAAATGCCCGGCACAAAGGTAGCGGTCCAAGAAATGGACCGTGCGGAATTTTTGCGGAAACGCGCAAAGCCGTGCGCCCATTCCGGCTCGGGTAAATGCGCGATTATAAAGAAATCGTTGCGCGCATGTATTTTATATTACGAAAAAATCATATTTTTATTGCTATTTTCCTCGACACGGCTCGTCTGACGAGAATTTATCGGGAAGGAGAGGGAGGTCCGATGATTTTATTATTTCTCCGAGCATTGGATGTTGCGCAGTGTAAATATGCTGGTGTACAACACAAGCGAAATTAATAAAACGAAGGAGGGGAGGGAAAAAATCGGACGCCAAACATGTGAATTACAAATTCCATCTCTCGCATTGCAAAATGTACACAGTTGATATCCGCGATTTAAATATCATTATCCGTGCAGAACCCGCAATATCTTCGTGTCGATATGCAAATGGTGGAAGTGCCAAATGCCGCGCTCGCGCGGCCCGGGTTTATGTAGTACATAATACTCTCCGACAATGCGCCGCATATCAAAGTCAAATACGCAAGTGGCTTTCAAACTAACGCGTCCTACGGTGCGACAAAAGAAGGAAAAAAATATGCGCATGCAAAACACGCATATTTATATCAATATTAAATGCGATACTTCTGCAAACGAAATCGCTGTTATGTGCGCGCAAATAGCCGATATTCGATATTCTCGCGCTCACGAACGGCAATCAAACTCATTTTGCGGGAGATACGAAACAGCCGCGCACGGAAGGTCGCAGCACCGAAATGTCGCACGGGTCAAGAGTGCATCGGTGATTGCGGATTGTCGGACGACCGTTGAATACGTCGGGCAGGGAGGAATTGCAGACTAAACCTTGAGCTGGTAAGCTGCCGTAGTCCTCCTGCGATTAATATTCCATTACTTGCCAGCGTTATTTCAATATTTCAATATTTCACGTTCAGCTTACGACGCTTACGGCGGGGAGACGCGTCTCTCGTTTTCTGCAGCCTTCCCTCAAATATTTTCTCATCAGAAATAACGTATTAACCTTTTGAGCGCTACAAGCAGAGAATTTTTTCTCAAGATATAAAGATTTATAAACCGAAGAAGCATCGTAGCAGTCTCGTCCCATCGGGATGTATTTGTAACGTCGAAACAATTTTAAAATGGTGTGGGAAATTTAGGAAAGCAACGCAAGCGACACGATTACAGTTGCACATCGCTTCCCAAACACCATAGGTCACAAACGAATGTCCCGTCTTTCTGCTGTTCTCACAGATACATTGTAAATCCAAATGTGTATTTTTACACGCATAAACATCTTAAAATGACACATTTGACTGGAGTTGTTTTTATATGTTTTTTACCGATTTAGCTTACGTAACAATAAAAAAAATACGCCGCAATAAAACAAAAATCTATTTGGTGGGTGTTAATAACACATTTACTTATACTACTGTACATATTTTCGCACTAAGAAAAATGTTTTCAAATGAAATGCATTTTCTTAAATCTGTAGCTTTTCGTGAAAGCAATTGATTATTGTATGTAAATAAAAGGATTTATATTTAAGTAAATATATTATTAATACCCACCGAATAACTGTCTTTTATTTCCTAAATATTTTTCTCTCAGTGTATTTATCCTTCATATAAAATTGCCTTGATCTCTTCTATTTACACACTAAAAACCCTAATATGTTTCTACGTCATAAACGGAGATTTTGATTAATATACTCTCTCTCTCTCTCTCTCTTTCTCTCTCCCTTATAACTGCAGGCGTATCAACATGAGCTAATAAAGCGTACGCTAATAAACCTTGTCTCAGCGTCATTCGCTGCGCCTCTGGAAATTACGAGCACCCGGTAGACGACGGCGGAGTAGCGCAATACCGAGACGTAATAACATGCACATGTGCGCGCCAATCCGATATTTGCTCCGATGATGCCGCAAAATCGCATTACTTGCTGCTTAGAAACCATCTGTGAAGCAAAGCTGGTTGGTTCTCTGGCGTTATCGCGGAGAGAACAGGGATATCAAAAATACGCAAATCGTTATACGGAAATCCTTCGGGCGGCGCGTCGATGCGGCACAATAGCGCGCCTCACCCCATTGCCGACCAATGAGACCTTTTAAAAGCTTCCGGCCCGATCGCGTACGACCGTCTTTGTTCAAAATTTAACGAAGCCGCCTCGCCGAAGACGTATGACCCAACCGACGGATCGATATCGACGAACGCGCTCTGTCTTATAACTTTACTCATCTCCCGGCTGCATGTAGGAGGACAAAAAAGGCGCACATCCCGGCCGAGGAAGCGCCCGATCAGAAGATGTCCCTTTTTTCCTTCGGAAATCTCTCTCTCGAGAAGATTTCAAATACGTGGCTCAAAAATGATTAAAGTTTCAGCGCACACGTGCGCGCATCAAGATGGATAGTACATAGACACACACCCAGCCGCACAGAAATTTATCTGAATTTTCCCGGATATAATATATGTTGTAAATATAGTATAGATTCCGCGCGATTAGAGCACCCAAAAGTTGTCCTAAAATAGGTCATCCCGCTACGATACCGATTGCAAGTCCCATTTTTATCCCAAACTCGGGACGAAGCCTCTTTTCGACGATGGTTTTAATTGCAAAAATAATAGCAGCAATATGCATGTAAGGTGTTATTATCACTGATATTACAATAACACTTACTAAAGAAACTCCTGGTTCTCCTGACTATAATTCTTTCACTGCGATGATTACAGTTACAAATACTAAATATTTCCCTCTCGGTGTAGATTTTCCAATTAAAACTTCGTCCATAATGATTTCGGGAAATCGCACCGGGGCCCGATAAGAAATCCAAAGAAATTTTCCACGCGAATGGGTCTCTGCGGAACACGTAAAGAGACTGATGGGGCTAAAGGGGATACTCGAAGAAGTCGGGAGAGGGGGGTAGGGAGGGGGAGAAGAGGATGACAACCTCGAATACGCAATAACTCACACGGGCTCGACATGGTAACGTCGCGAAATCATTCCGGATTGCACTCGCGGTTTGCATGAACTTTTGCGACACTGTACCGCACGGATCTTCCGTGAAGCTGGAAGAAACTGTTTTCGTCGTAGCATCATCATGGCCGACGAACCTTATACGAGCGAATACGACGACGTGGTGCTACCGCCATAGCAGCCGCGTTTCGTCGCCGTGCATGCGGCTGTATCTGCATAGAACCAGCTAGCTTTCCCGTCAAGAGACGGAGCTTCGTGTCGTACAAAGTGGAAAATGACGTGGCGCGTCAAACAAGTAGAAATATTGTGTCTCGTTTCCCTTCGCGTTTCTTGGGCTGGTGGCCGCGTGCCAATAAATGAATCGCTCGCGCGCGCTCCTCCACCCCGCAGGAAAGAAATTGGTCAATATTAAGGGTTGGCGTGGAGCATCGGCTTGAAATAAAGGCGGTCGTTCATGGCTCACGCCTGTGATTTCTTATTGCAACGACGAACTCGATGCGTAGTATAAGGCTTCTCCGTGAAACCGGGAATGCAAATTTTTGCGAATTTTTCCGAACCGCCCAGGCGAAGAGACGGTCGTGATTTCATTAGTAGCCCGTGTTCGGCTAAAAGCAACGGTGACATCTGTCGGAGGACAGGTATCCGCGGAGGAACTTGAACATTTAGATTTCACTGAAGCTTTATGCACGTGTTAAGTAGATCTGCGAGCGAATTATACGAATTTTCGAAAAAATCGAGCTCCTCTACGCGCAACGACGTGTCGTCAAAATCGAGATTTATGAATTGCAAAAATTCTCCCCCAGTAAGCAGGAAACATTATCAATTTTTTAAAACGTTGATTTTACGTAGATTTTATATACATTTTGACATAATATTTTATAAATATTTTTAAACTGTTACTTGATAATATTATATTTTTATATATTAAAATTATGATGTAGAAACATTATTTTTAATGTTTCGGTCAAATATTGTCAATAGTAACGTTGTATATAACATTAAGAACTATTATCTGAAAACGTTACATATAAAATATAGTTGTAATAATCGTTCTGTTAACGATTTCTTGCTTATTGGGTCCTCCCTCTCTCTCTCTCTCTCTCTCTCTCTTTCTCTCGTTTTTTGTCTGAAATAGAATATTATTAAAATCCAGCGGCGAGCTGTTCCTGCTCGCTGAAATAAGGCTTCGGCACCGACTACGAGGCGATACATCGTGCTAAATGCCACGCATTTAATTAAAATTATTTCATTATTTTATCATTTATCGCTTAATTTGCAATTATTCCGTCGCTTCTGCCCATCGACGAAAAAATGCGCTTCGCCGCCAACGAAATATTACTGCGTCCGCACATTATTGCATACCGTGGCTGAGTATTATTAGATATGGCGACCGCTTGTAAACAAATTGCGCGGGACATTTGCTCAGTGCTTCGTTACTCATGCGCCAACGTGAATATTTAATGCAGTTTATGTATGAGCCGCATAAGCAGAACGTCCCATTTTAGAGGGTACAATGGAATATCTTGAAAACTAGGCAATTGACGGAAAAATAGTCCAGACAAAAATCGCAGGATCTGGAGGGGGACATAAGTAGATGGCCTCAACTTCGTAGTATAGTCAATAATTCGAGATCATTTCAAGACCAACCTCAATTTTTATCAATTTTTTAAATATCATCATATAGTTTTCTTTTTAATACAAAAACATAAGATGAATATTTTTCGAGATATTTTACTTTTTATTCTGATATTTTTCAAGATATAAAACATCTCATAAGGAATTCACTTTTCGATAATATCACCGTAACATTTTTTTAATAATGCGACAGAAACCGAGTCAACTTGCCACGTAACCGCCATCGTTTTCGATATGTGTCAATAAATATCCACGATATTGATTGTGCGCATACAGTCTGTCGTTTCTTTTATTTTCTTTTCTTACTCCCTCGTGGAATGTCGCGAACGCGCCGGCACGCGTGACAAAGGACGCGCACGCTTCGTCGGCAATGCGAAACCCAGGGCGAAGGTTTGAACTTGTTTCGGAAGTGCGAATCTGTTGCGCGTGACACCGTTAAACAAGAACGATGAGTTCAAAGAACGGCAACGCCTGACCGAAGTGGAATACGGGCGCGGAAATAGACGGGGGTCCGAGGAAAGTGCGGGCGTGCCGAAAATATCAGGAGCACCCATAAGTAATGTCGCTTTTTCATACTTGTACAAAATTTTATTGTGTTGTTCAGTCGTTGACCACGATGTTTGCCGCTAATTCTAGAATAGCTTGCTCGGGATCAGCTTCAGCCCCAACGCAAGATCCTTGTCAAATTCAGCAGGTCTCCCGGTCCGTCGAAATCACCGTTCTTAAATTGTTTTTAAACCAACGCTGACACGGAATACACGTCCAAGTCAGTTGTTTAATGAAGTATAGGGCATAATTCCGGAGCGCGCACCGGAGGATCCTCAACAACATCTCAGCACCGTGGGTGAAACGCGCGCGCGCGCCCCGAGTGGAGCGTTAATACGATTCCCGGCTGCTTTACATGGCCGCGTTGCGGCTTCGCGCGGCGACGAATCATTCCTACACGAAGCAGCAATTTAAGCAGACAGCCGGGTATGTACCATGTACGACGGATTGCACCCCGTAGACAGATGAGTCGCTAAAGTTTGTCGCTCTTCCGCGCGCGAAACTTCTCCCGTCCTAGTGTCTGCCCAGCATTCGCGTCCGTTCGCAACCTGTCTGGCACCGACTACCTACCTCTTGCGCACACAAGAAATTCGGGTAGCAGATTGCAGCGGAACAACGATGGCAGAGCATCCCTGCGGCCGCAACACACCGGACCGACGTAAAATAGTAGTAATGGCGAGAGAGAGAGAGAGAGAGAGAACCGGAACGAACTCTTTTTAGATGCTGTCGGGGGGGGATCGCGCAGGATACGGTCGCTATGTGTCTTCCAACGCGGCGGCCGGAAGGCGGAGCACGGAGTTAAAAATAGAATATCTCTAAGAAGGAACGCGAAGGATCCCGTAATTAATCGGCCGAGTCTCCGCAACTCATCTTAGACACGAAGTCAACTTTAAGACGACCCCGGCGTTACGTAATTAATAATCAAGACACCCCCTCGTTTATACAGCCGATATCGAATTAAAGCTCGATGAAAAAAAAATGGCGAGTCGCGCGCGATCGGAAGTTTCGCGCGAAGAGAAAAATGCGCGGGGAGGAAGGCAGATGCGATTATTAAAGCCCGCTTTAATAATCGCCGATATTTCGCGCGAATCCCCCGGCCGGAGTCGGCGAACCGATCGTTATTCACCGGAGATGTACGCGTATTACAGCGATTTAGCATCGTACGTTATGAACCGGCGACGGGTGTGATTTCTCTCTCTGCCCGCGGAGTGTATATGTACGGCCACCATTTCGGCAGAAGCGAGCAATCGTAAACTCCGCCGTGGCGATAGTAAATCATAAAGTAAGGAACGACAATGACTACACCGGCGCACACACCATCATTCGTGCAGCGCGCTCGCGTGCATCCGCTGGATGGACGGAACTTGGCCGCGCTTGACAGATATACACACGTGAGCGCACATGAGCCGCGCGCGTCGAAACGCATATAATGATCGATCTCGCCGACGCTGACGCGGCTAATGAAGAACGATCAAATCCGAAGAGCGAACGGCGCGTGAAACGGCGGGAACCCCCGCGACAAAAAGTTTCGGCCGTATCGCATCTCCTCCTTGAAGGAGTGTCGTCAGAATTCCGACTCGGGTCATTTCGTATAGAATTGAGGTTCCTCCCGCGACGCGATTCCTGTCGGCCCATAAAGCACGCGAGCGGGAGTGCGCGCAGATAAAGAACGTGCGTGTCGGTGCGCTCGACTTGATCAAACAAAAATACGCAGATACGGGTTTATCTGCGGAAGTGATATATCTTCCGCGCCGAAACTTGGGAGGTATCGCCGGGGCGGGCGGGATGCGCTATTCACGCGA